AGAATAAGCTACCGGGGAGAAAATAGGTTGCTTGCAATTCACAGCGGCCAATTTTCCCTGTATATCATCAGTACTACATGACATCTATTGATTGTGGAGTGACTCGTGCGGTCGCCAGTAAATTTCCAGTCTCTCCCTGGGGCGTCAAAGAGTAGTACACTGGGTTTTGCTCTCTTTAGGCATTCGCTAAGCACATCAGATCGGTGGTCTTTCTGCTCTGCGTTCGACACCCTGAAGAATTCAGTCGCTAACGGCTGTTTTCCACCGGTTATTGTTCATAAACTCCACATTTTGAATCACATGACTTTCGACATTTTGGCGAGTATGACAGTATCCCTAACTTTTGATCGTTGACATGTATCGGGACTTCGGATGTCCTCTATTACTTGCATCGTACGGGTTACTTCCAGCATTTTCTGCACTGCTGTCTCGATAGTGTGGAGAATTCGGTAACGCTTCCATTCTGCTTATGTAGCCACGAGGTTTCCTGGGTGTACGTTAAGAACGGGACAGTTGTTGAGTCAGAAAGGTGGATTCGGGTGTTCTTTGTTCTCTTCACTACATTCTCGGTGCTCTTGAAAGCTGTCCAATCCGCTTGCTTCCTTCCGCTTGACTTTGAAGCCAAAGTAACTCCTCGACACTACGCAACTGGAGCATTCGAGATGTTCATTCCATTGTGCATGAATGGTGCTTATAAAACAAATCCGTTCTTCATGAACATTGTTTTCGTGGGCTTTACTTGAAGGCTAATCTTTCCACAAGTGTTGTTGAAGTCAGCCATCATTCATTCTGCAGAAATTGCAGAAATAACGCTTGAGGTTATAAGAACGACATCGTCAATAAAGTAGAGATGGTGTAGCTTTTTTGCATGGCATTCTCAACAATGATTGTAATTTTCGGTTGACAGTATTGTTTTCACGAACCTCTCTGTTTATGTGGATATTAATGTCATTGTAGAACGGTGATGTTTTGGTTGTGAAATTTTTACATAGCTCACGCAGGGTCGTCAACTACTTAGTAGCAGCGGCCGGGCTATCCAGAGGTTCTATGATGGCTTTTGTCTCAACCGAGCCGAAGACTTTTTAAGCCGATGAAATTGAGACATAGCGGAATATCTCATGTGTTTCTTAATCGTAGTAATGTGATCGGTTGTATTGAGTCTTTTTTGAAGCCGTTTTCTCAGTGCGGACGACTCGAGAAGTTATAGACAACGGATAACAGACGCATTGGCCATAGTTGCCGATGTTGCATTGGTTTGTATTTTTGTTCAGCAGCCCGACCTTACTGGCTTTCAACTGAATAGGAGTCTTCTTTTTGACAACTAAAGCATAGAAAGCGGAATTAGTGTATTTATGAGGACTTACGGAAGGTTCCTCAGATATTTGGGTATAATTCTGTCAGGTTGTTGTGCGTTCCCTCACCGACGAGGTGATTTATCGGATATCGAAGTGGAAAACCGGTGGGACCACATATTCATCCTTTTTTTCATATCAGCACAAAAGGCGTGGATGATTTTCTCTATTGCTTTCCTTGAAAGTTGTAACTGATTTTTTTGTCGTAGAACTGCGATGGACTTGGTCTTATAATTAGCGATGTTTTGGCATGTGAAGGCACTGAATAAGTCGATCGTATTTTTCATCGATGTTGTCGATAACAGCATCTTCCCCGCACTAAATAGGCCGATCGCATACTTCACCGGTGTCGTCGAAAATTGTATCTTCCCAAGAGTCGCCTAGTGATTTGAATAAATCCTAATTTGCGATGGTTTTGGTATTTGCTTTCTTAAACTTTGCGGCTTTCTCTTCTTTACGATTAACGCTTAATGTTGCACAGAGGAGACTATGCTCTGATCCAATACAAAATTTTGGAAATAGTGAAATCAGTTGGGGAAACCATCGGTGCACCATAAAACTCTCGGCGTTGATCAATCCCTGAGGGATGCGCCATGCATTCGACTTCATTAAATATCCTTGGAGGTGATTGAATGCATATCTGGCGTTTACAATGACTCGCGGTGGCCTACCGATGTATCGAGCAAGTACTGCCATCCTCTCAGACAAGTTTGTTACCAATTTGTCGATCCCGGAGGGACAGAAGGCTTGGTGAGCAATTGGCGCGGCGATCAATTCTATGTGTCGCAGTGGCGCCTCCAACCATTATTTATGTTGTTACAATACGATTAAGAAATGTGTTGCTTTCACTCAACAAAACAGTGATGGAAAGGAGACCTCTTTGTAGTCCATTTTTCAAGGTTTTCTGCACTATGCAGTTCGATTATACCGTTCAGATTCTTCTTACGAGCAATTCTTTCGTAAGCTCTTAATGCGTTTTCTTTGGATCTGCTTAGTTCATCTTCAAGTTCTCGTCGTCGATAACAAGGTCACCATCGCTCGCCTTTCTGTCCTAATTGTTCTTCTACCACGGAATGTTCTTTTTTTATCTCAATGCGCTAAATTGTTCGCAAATTAACATGGGAACAAAAATATGGTAAAAATATAGATGGAATCACATTCGTGATAGTTCGATGGATTTCATGACTGCCCCTAATTCTTCATAGCTGCAGTACCTGTGGATTTGATGTCGTAAAAGGGTTTCAAATGACTAGTACTTGATACTTGATACTTGAACGGCCCGTTATCACTAGTTGTGCGGGCCCCAGCATAATCACCATTTTTCGGAGATTAGCTCGCTATGCTATTGTGGCTCTCTGGAATCCCTAGAACACCCTGGCCAAAGTCTGCCCCAGGTCGTCACCACGAAAGGCAGTCGCAGCCCTTGTGGATCAGAGCGAGATTTACCACCATGCGACTTTGATACTAAGACGGTGGAGGATCCTGGTATTGGTTTACTCTCAGCTAGGCTTCCCGATGGAAACGCCGAACTCCTTCTCAGCATGGGAGACCCTGCTGGGGGGAAGAATACGCCCGCTGTACATCGCAGTCCTACACCCAGGAACACCTCCCAGCCACGATGGGAGGCAAATGACTACTAGTCTTCTTGAAATGTTCCGTAGTAAATTAATAGAACATTGATCAGAACAAAATTAATTTAGAAAGCACGGAAAATATCCACGTTGGAGGCCAACTGACGTAGCCAATGTACAAATCGCTTCGGTAGCCTCGGCGACAAAGAACAAGAAACAAAAAATCATTCATGGCTTACAATTTCCCTATGATATATTTCACAGGATTGGCTTTGTGCTTTGCGGGAAGAATTAGTAGGTTCTGGTGGTTGATTGAAATCTGAATGCTGAATTATTTCGGGCTAAGTATTAGTCTTAGTGGTTTGGGTTGTCATGAATCTGTAGGAAATGGCGTGGAAAAAATCTTGAGTGAGAAATTTGAATCTTCCACATTGCGAAATGAGGGATTTCCAATGGAATAACGGAGTAATTCTTCCAAAATTTTCAGCTTCTCAGTAAGAAGCTCGCATTGGCAATTGATTCACTACAAACTCAGCGAGGTTATTTTGCTGAGCAGGTAAGCACTCCTTGATAAATTTTATTGGTAACTTATGATTGTCATGTTTTCTTAAAATGTATGTATCTCTAATAAAAATAGTAGTGGTGAAGAGTGTCGGTTGAATTAACGCATTCGCGTCAGTGTTCTTGATCTCAAGGGAACCCTCGGGCTATTTTTTGGCCAAGAATGGTTTCTTTGCAGCACACAAATCGACATTGAACTCTTCTAATAGCAGGGCACCCCCTTTATTCGTATTTGAATGTAGATTGCTAAAATCGTTGCAATCGCTAAAAAAATAATACAGAACAGGTATTTATAGAGGCAGGCATTCATGGCGTTTGAATCACTGTAATACTAGGTTAGGGGCGCGTATGGCGCAGTGGTCGGAGGCGCCCTGCTATACACACGTGGAATCGGTCTCCACGCAAATAGCTCACCAAGCCTTCCTTCTCTCCGGGGTCGGAAAATTTGCACTAGACTTGTCTGGAAGGATAGCAGCAATAGCTCGATACATCGGTACGCCACCGCGGGTCATTGTGAAGGCCAGATATGCATTCAATCACCTCCAAAAGATTCTTAATGAAGTCGGCTGTATGGTGCATCTCTCAGGGATTGATCAATGCCGAGGGCTTTATCCTTTTCATCCTTTTAATTCTGTGTGGAAGTGCCTTATTGCAGTAAATTTATCCCTTGTTTATATCTCTTATGAGAGATCTGTGTGACAAACGGTTGGATCTTATGCGAGCTGTCTTGTTCATGACAAAATATATTGTTCACAAAATGGAGGAGAAGCAGTAGCTTTTAAGATCTGGTTGTTTCATGTTACATCGGGTGCAGAAGACCTCTTCAAAGCTATGGTTTCTGACTCCAGTATCATCGCACTGACCCGTTCATCAACTGTCGCAGTTCAAGAGTTGAGATCGCAAGACGAAAACCAATGATTGTTTGAGCTTTTCAGCACTTTTCGTTTTTTATTACTGTCCCTTCTCTTCTCTGTATTTGCTGATCTCATCGGCATTCAGCTTTAAAACACCAAATGCAAAAAATTCACAGAGATTTACCAGTTCTGTGCGTCCAATCAAAAGTTGTTCATCTACAAGAGATTCGATCCCGTTTGGGATCCACATTCCCTATGAGTATTTATTGTGACCATTGACGTCATCATATTCGTCCTCATAGTCTAATTCGTTTTTTTCCAAACTATGCGCCAGGAAGCACAGGAAAATTCGCGTTATACGCAGTGTCTGCAGGTTCTCCTTGTTCATTTTCAATAAGCCCCCGATTGAGAATAAAATTCAATTTGCCTTTCCTCTGATAACATTGAATTGTATGAAAGCGTCAGAAAATTTTCTGTTGTATTAAAGGATAAACGATAAAGCTGTCGGCGTTAGTCAATCCCTGAGGGATGCCCCATGCATTCAACTACATTAAGCATCGTTGGAGGTGATTAAATTCATATCTGGCTTTTATATTGACTGGCGATGGCCTACCGATGTATCGAGCTAGTGTTGCTATCCTCGCAGACATGTTTGGTACCAATTTGGCTATTCCGCAGGGATGGAGGGCTTGGTGGGCCACCGGCATGGGATCGGTCCCATGTGTGTATTGCAGGGTGCCTCCGGGCACTACGCAACACCCCCTGTTTTGATGCTGTCTTACACAGCATATACCAAAGATCTTGCTTAGTTGCTAATGTGTTAAGAGAAATAAGTTTAGAGTGTACCTTGAGTTTTGGTGTTAGAAATAATTGTCTGCAGTTGGTGAGAAGCAATCAGTACTAGGGATTTTCTAATGCAATAGGTCATTCATTTTGTGTAAATGCTTTATATGTTAATGCAACTATTTCTGCAGTTTTTTTTCCAATGTAGGAAAGAGTGATGAGGTCAGCGCTGGACGAATTTGAGGCTGAGGTATCGAGTCATCCAGAAAGTGATCAGTCAATGTTGGATATTCCTTGGGAAACAGTAGGTTTTCTTCGAGAACACATCGTCTCTTTTATGTAACTATCACTAGGAGTTAGTTGTCATTTGTTTGATTTCCTTCTCAGATACGGAGAAAAAGTGCATTGGCGGAGCTCCTTACTAAAGTGTTTATGGACGTTGGGCGCACGGGAGTAGTCCAGGTTTTTAGACAGTGATTTTTCAGTTTTCGGTTTTTTGATCGTTTTTTATCAGTGCCAGAGGTTTTTCTTTTCCAAGGTGTTCGTTGATAATTTCATTGAAGTGGGTTTCTGTGTTCAAATTCAAGCGTTCACACATGCTCATCTGACCCCGAAGAGTCGTGCAGAAATTGATAAAATTGTGAAGAAAATACGGTTGGAATTTTAATTCTTTATGGATTGGGTACCGAAACGGCTTTTTGGTCTTCAGAGTTTGCTTCACGTAATTCCAGACCCTACCATGGAATTTTATTGCTCGAGGACGTATGGCCAAGTCCGGATGCAAACCCTTCTGTAACTTTGCTTCTAAAGCATTGTGAGCCTGATCGTTCGATCTTGGATATATCAACGGCGTCGGGATTGCCATTGCTTCAAGTGATTTATTCATGGTCTTGGAATATTCTATCGATTCCGCGTAATTTCTATATTATGACGACCCACAGGTCTTTCTTATCGTTCGCCACCTACTTCTATGGGCTCGAGCTATTGTTATCTATCCTTTGTGCAATGCAAATGTCTATTCTTCAGCAACGTATCCGAAGCCATTGGGCAGGTACGCTTTAATAAAAATAGGTTGTACAGTGAACAATTTGCCTTGTTTCCTAGAATTTTTTGGGTAGAATTTTATAAAATTTATAAAAACTTTGGCGTAAAGGCGATCGAGCCGTAAATCATGGGGACTACTTGAAAAGTTTTCAACTTCAAGGGCTGTATTAGTAAGAGTTATGGGTGAGGGACGACCAACATTATTTTTTTTTAACGTAAAAAAGGCTCAAAGGCTTAAAATGCGAAATATTTCGGTTCCCTTGTGCTGTCCGACTTCTGTGAAGGGTTCTAAAATAACATACTTGGTTTGTTCTCTCTATTCAATCTTAAGTAAATTTCGATCAAGATTAGTAGATACAAGGGTGAACCTAGTTCGTTATGGACTTTCAGGCATTTTTTGAGTAATGGTGGTGCAGCATCATTCTAGTCGTGGGCTCTAGCAATTTAGAAGTGTTTGAAACAGTCCGTATCACTGGTGAAAATCACGTAAAAATCATAAGTTAAAAAACAGCGGAGGAGCACAGGGAATGTCGTCCCACACCCATGCACTTTTTGTGTTCCACCCTGAACATCAAATCCTTTCATTCTTTAGTGTAATTTATTAGAGTGTATGCCTACAAACGATTAACACTTTCATAACGAATGTCACCCATAGGAGTCATAAAAGTTTTGCGGGAGTGGCGGTCTAGACACCTATAGGTGTCATTTTCTTTCCGGTAGTTTATTTTGGTATGCAGAAGCTTTTCCTTACACTTCTTGTAATCATTCGATAGGTTATCCAATGCAGAGGATATGGCAGCAGTTTTGCATGGGAGGATGTCTTGATGACATCCTCCCATGCAAATTTCCATTTTCTAATTTTTCATTTTGCGGCGAGAGACTGTCGCTGTTGAAGAGAGAATCCGCTTAGACAATGTCGCCAATCAAGAGGCGCAGAAATGCTTCTACCTCTAGGAACTAACTTTGAGTGCAGTGTGCTTCGTTGTTTCCCAATTTTCAATCGCTGTGATGACTTTTGGGTATCGTATGGGATGAGAGGATATCAAAACCAGAAGGGGACCATCGTAATATTTCTTGCAGAAGTTATGTAGATCCATTAAGTGCTGACAGGAGTACGATTGCATAGTGAACCGAGTGCGTTTTCCTTCATGTACAAGAGCTGTAATATGCACAGAAAACATGGCAGAGTGTGTAGAAGAACACGGAACATGCAGAGGATGTGCTGAAGTTTCCTCAAAACACAGTGAAAAACCGATTTATAGAGCGAAATCGCAGCAAAAGGAGGGGGAGCTACACAGAAACTGATGGAGTGGACTGTATGACGCCTATGGATGTAATAGTAGGCGCAATGATGCACCGTTCCACCCCCGCAAAAACGCGAAAGTAGCTGTCGTCGCGAGAATGTTTGAAAATAAAAAAGTATAAAGCCCTCGGCGTTCATCAATCCCTGATGGGTGCACCATGCATTCGACTTCATTACGCATCGTTCGAGGTGTTTGAGATGTACGTTTGGCCTTTATAATCACTCGCCGTGGCCAACCGATATATCGAGCCAGTGCTGCTGTCCTCCCAGGGAAGACGTACCAATTTGCCGACTCCAGAAGGACGGAAGGCTTAGTAACCCTGGGACGTGGAAAATCGATACCAAGTGTATTGCATTGCGCCAGCGACCACTGCGCTACACGCTACAGCTAGAATGTTAGACACCTAATTGTCTATGGTATTGCATATCACCATAACTGCGTATAATTGGGTGTGTTTCGTTCAGTTCTTTTTGCAGATACATATCACTATTTTCGCAACAGTTCGGTCCATCATTTCATTTGGCCGACGTGTTAGCCCAGTTCGATCCACCAAGTTCGCTTGGTGTGTATCTGAATTCACACCAACCACTTGCTGACCAACAAAATAGGGCGAAAGTTATTGTTGCTCTTCTACGACACCAACTTATCTTGCAGGTGTTTTATTTTTATTTCTTATTAAAATGTTTGGATGAGTAAGATGAAATTTCTCGGTTCACTGAACTATGAGAAATGTTCAATTGTCAGTCCCAAGTGCGAGTGCGAGACTAGTTCGATGGTTTGGCACTGCTCCGGAAAAATCATCTCCGTGCTAGCTTAGTTTGTATTATAACAGACTGGCACAGCTGCTACAAGCAGTCTCATGGGCATTAAAACATTCACTACTTTACTTAATTATGCATAGGATGTGCCTTTCTTTTCCCTAACTGTTCACCGCACGCGCCGTAAATCGTACGTGACTCATACGGCCTGTTCATACACATTCTTCTATGTAGCTTTGGATTCTTTGGAGACATCTCCAACTCTTCTCTAATGGTATACGATAGAAAAACTGGACTTCTGCACTGCACTGGAACCAGCGGATTTTTGTGAATTATTGTTGCTCGTGAGAGAACTTTTTGGAGGCCTGGTTTTGATGAAATAACCAGCTACGGTCAGTTGTTGCAAACGACAGCGCTGTAGAATAAATAAAAAGATTTATTGGTTAGTGCGTTCAGACGAAAGTCCTTTGTGTAGGATAGTTCGGCCAACAAAGGTTTATTAAAAATATCTCTTTATGGTTATCTACCATGCGGGTTTTTTCTTCGTTTCCTGGAGAGTATGAAAGACGTGAGGAAGGAGAATTAAATGGAATGATGTTAAATAGAACCACTATTGTGCTGATATATTTGCAAAACGTTGGGCCGAGTCCAAATTCGAACCCGCGATTACCCTTTCCATGGGCTCACGTGTTAGCCACCGGCACCAGTGATGCTCTTACGTTATATGAATGCGTCGTTTTCTTGTTCAGCAATCGCGAGGTTTTTAAACAGCATACATTTACTTCCATAGAAAAACACAATACAATACAAGGCTAGCTGACGTTTCGGCAGTATCGCCTTCTTCAGAGCCTGGAAGGGTATGCTGATATACAATCTACTAGGCCAAACGCTTCAATAACACTTACAAAAAGACGAAAGACTCTTTGGTAGTTACATGATCAACAACTTCTCGAAAAACCCACCGCTTTTTAGTGACTTCTAATGAGGAAGGTTAGAACAGGAGATGGACAAATGCTTTGAATTATTGGACGAGCAGTCTGAGCACACAAAGTTCACCCGGGAAAACCCGATTTTTGATGTGGGATGGTGCAGTCATCAACCACATGCTACTATAATCAGCTGTTCTAAACTTCCTCATTGGAGGTCACGAAAAAGCGGTGGGTTTTTTCGAGAAGTTGTTGATCGTGTAATTACCAAAGACTTTTCCGTCTTTTTATAAGTGTTATTGAAGCGTTTGGCCTAGTAGATTGCATATCAGTATACCTTTCCAGGCTCTGAAGAAGGTGATTCTGCCGGAACGTCAGCTAGTGTTGTATTGTGTTGTATTTTTCTATGGCAGTAAATGTATGCTGTTTAAAAACCTCGCGATTGCTGAACAAGAAAACGACGCATTCATATTCCAATGCCGTGGTTAAGAGAAAGTCGATCCTGGGAGCTCTTACGTTACCTCTGTCAGCAAGTATTTTTCTGTGACGGTGCCGTTAGCATTCGCCTGTCAACAGGATCAATCCGGGAGCTCCAAATCGGCATTGAAGCAAGTTAAGCAGAGGCTGTAGTCGAAGTCACAAAGTTTAACTTCTTATTTACTGCCCATTATTGTGCTTAGGGTAGGATATGACATTAAATACTTCGTTTTTCCTTTTTTTTTCGTGCAAGTTTTGCAAATATTTCAGCATTGTAGTGGTTGTATTTCACATCATACCCTGCTATGTAATAGTAGGCAGTAGATTAAAAGTAGAAAAGGATGATTTTAGTTATACTAGTGATGGTCTCAGAGATTGATGTTTTTGTCGATGGAACTTTTGATGATACGTGTAGAAGTAAGATCCTATTTTTTCTAAATTATCGCATTTACTTGCACATTGCTAAGACATATTATTTTTTCCCATGGACAATTTTCCAATTGGAACTGTTCATCCATAGATTCAATATGACCGAAGAGTGTGTAGCAGTAGTCTCCTCCAAGCAATCTTACTTGGAGGGTAGGACGGCTCGTTCTCACTAGTTGTGCATATCCCAGCATATTCTTCATTTTTCGGAGTTTTGCTGTTTTAGTCATTGTGGTCCCCTGGAGTCCCAAGGACAGCCTAGCCAAAGTCTGCCCCACGTCGTCACTACCACAGGCTGTCGCCGCTTCTGTGGATCCTAGGGAGATTTGCCACCATGCGACTAGTTTGATACCAAGACAGTCGTGGATCCTGGTATTGGTTTACTTTTAACCAGGCTTTCTGATAGAAAGGCCGGACTCTTTCTCAGATAGGAAGACCCTTCCAAGGGGACGATTCCCCCCGCTGTATATTGCAGCCCGGCGCCCAGGAACACCTGTCAGTCACGGTGATGCAGTAAACCGTTGGAAGGTTGCAATTTTATGTTTGTTAATTTTCAGTTCTAATTTCCTCTACTGTTTTGAGTTATTGCGAAATAAATATTTTCTCCCATGGGAACAAAGATTTCGAAACTGCGAGGAAAAGTTGTATGAAAACGATAAATTTTTAATGCGAGGATTGGCTGTTTCAGCTTCATCGATTTTGTTACATTGTTCCACCATTTTCTGACGCAAAACTACCTCGAGAGGGTCATCATTGCCCCGATTCTTTGAAGGTTTGTAGTGAATTTTTGGATAGTCATATCTAAGTTGATCGTGAATATTTGGTTTAGTTAACTCATGGGTACGAATTTCCTTACCAATGTAGAGTTTCAGGGTTTCTTTAGAAGATTGACGTACGTCAAATACGTGTACCTCGGCTCATAGCAGGCATTGTTAATAAGAATGAGAATCCATCTGTTGATAGAGGACCACATAGTCTTCCTTCTTCTCCCCTTTTCTTCACTTTTCCGGTTCGCTATTTGTTTTCGTTTGAGATGTTGATTAACGACTGCGACACGTTGGGCAGCAATTTCAAGCAAATAGTGTCCGATCTATGTGGACATATGCTGAATACTCAGAGTTTTAGTTGTGTGAGTTTTTATCCATTCGTTCATTAGCTACTCCTATTTGTCAAATCGATTGTAGTTTCAGGTGGAGCGAAAGCTGACATTATTCCTTCGGATGAGCGCATATCTGCACGGACTTCATCATGTAGAAGATATTGTGTATCGACTTAATGTGGTGAATTTTTTTATTTTTATATGAGCCGTCTTCACGTCTACAGTGCGGATCCGAGCACTTCCCACATTTGGTTCGTTTTCTCCCATCTATTCTCCACCAAGATCTTCCAACTTTTTGCGTGTGGTTCCGGTTGCTGCTTGAGGATTTTCATTTCATCTTCTATGTCACAGAATGCTGGTAGAGCAATTCTCCCTGGAACCCTCAGATAGCTGCGCTGGAGCGTTTCCAATTGGATTGCAGAGTTTTTTTTTCTCGGACAAGTGACAAATTCGGTACCAATTTCACGACCCACGAAAGATGAGGGGCTTGGTTAGCCTGGAGCGCGATCAAACTAAGGCCATGCTCCTGATGGGCGACATCACTGCCGCTGTGCTCTCCACCCCTTCATGTGGTGAATATAATCGCTTATATCATCATAGTTGCTGTTTTTATTTAAATATTTCTTACAGATTCCATATTCACTGGAATTTATTTAAGTACTCACATGAATTGTTTACGTATTCACGGCTCCCACACCTCCTATCCATTTCGTTTTCTTGCAACCGTGATCCAAGTTGGAAGATGGCTTAGGTGCTTAGGCTTAACTGAAGCTACGGGTTGCGTTGGGCTTTTCGCGTTCCACTATAATGTGATTCTCGTCCATCTCTGCTCTTCTGTTCTGATTATACGACCGACCAATCCACGTTTATTCGCTTACGCTTATACCTGTGTCACGAAAACGAAATGTTTTTAAAATACTGAACTTTGAAGCCGGCTCTATGTTTAGCTTTTAATTTTGTGCGAATTTCAGATTGCTCCAAAATAGCGACGCGTTTTTTCTGCTTTCACGGATCTGGAACATTCATTAAACATTTGAGCACTGAAGCTTTCCTAACTACTGATCCGTACTCCTATTCCCTTCCTTCCTTCGATTACTTCGGCAAACGTTGTCTTTTATTTTGTAATGCTTTTCAAGAACGTAAGAGTTTGTGTTGGGCGTATACTATGGAGTCAATGCCATGAATGCAAGCGGTTAAACCGTCTCAAATAGCGAGATGGACTTACTGCAAAAAGGATTTCATTAGAAGAAACAAACCGCAGAGAGTGGGTCTTTATGTAAAGTTTTTCAGATAGTAATTCTCAGAACGAACTTTCTGTTAACATAGCGTTGATCAGTGATTCACCGTTTTCTTAATGAGCAGACACGAAGTTGCTATTGCACTGTTTATTCAGGTTAGCTGCAGTTTCCGCGGTTCCTATTTCTTCAGAGCCTAGAGAAATCCGGTTGTTACGCAATATATGTGTTCGGCCAAATACTTTCATAACTTGAGCGGAAAAGGCTTAATGCCCAAATTTCAATCCTATGGGAAACAACTTCTCTGGCAGGTCATTCTTTTTGTAGGCCAATGGCATTCTGGTATCGATTTCAGCTATAGCATTTTTATAAAAACAACTTCTCGTTACTAAAAGGCTTTTGGAGATCACTGCATAAGTACCGTGCTCCGTTGGTGTTGACGAAGTAGCGAATGATTCAAGTTTGCTTGTGATGAGGCAGTTAAACGTCATTTCTAATGTCTTCAGAATCAGCAGGTTGGGCATCAGAGGCTTGAGCGAACAACAGTACATGATAGAGTTTTCTCACTTAAATGACTATAGTTGTTCCATCGTGCACCTGCCATGTGGTAGTCCTCTTGTTGTTGATTTTTGCAACGGCGATCACATAACCTTTAAGGTGGTTTGTCAAATTGGAAAGATCATGGCTTGGTCATGAAAGTTACATGGCTCTGCATTTGTTGAATAAGAAACAATCTCCGTAACTTGTAATAATCGTTGCAGTTCATATCCGTGGACACTTTCTGAATGAACACGTAAACCAGCAAGACCACTATCGCCTGAATTCTGTTAACTGAATGAGTTATTTCGACATTGGGGAACTCCAATACACTTTGTCTCAAACGAGGTTTGGCCACTGGGCTCCGCTCGCACAAAGGAAACAAACAGTAACTCTCACGTCCGACTTTCTATTAACCTCGGCATTGTTTGAACAATTCTTTCTACTTTTGTTCAGCAAACACGAGGTGCTATTTTGTTTCTTTATTTACGTACAAGTTGACTTTTCGACGGATTTCGCTTTCCTCAGAGCCTGGAAAGGTCAAATTGATAACAATCTATTCCGCCAAACACCTCCATAACCAAACAGGGAAAACGCTAAACCAAGATTTCAATAACATTGAACACAGATTTGCTTCTTTGCACACTCACCGCTTTCTATGAGTCTTCGACTGAGTATGTCGCTTGGAGACCAACCGCATAGAATTCACATGAAAGCGCCATGTGCCCTTCCTATCAGAACAGCAGGCTTATATACTGCCCAATCTCAAGCGTAA